CTTTAGGTCTTCTTCAGTTTCAGCAAGCAAGGTTATATCATCTGCATATCACAGGTTGTTAATGATTCTTCCTCCAATCTTGATGCCACACTCCTTCTCATAAAGCCCTGCCTCCTGAATGATCTGTTCTGCATACAGATTGAAAAGACATGGGGACAGGATGCATCCCTGACACACTCCTTTACCAATTTTGAACCATGCAGTGTTTCCTTGCTCTGTTCTGAGGACTGCTTTTTGGTCCAAATATAAGTTTTGTATAAGCAGGATCAAGTAGTCTGAGATTCCCATTTTCCTCAAGGTTAGCCACAATTTATTGTGATCCACACAGTCAAATGCCTTTGCATAGTCAATAAAACACGAATAGACATTCTTCTGGTACTCTCTGCTCTCTGCAAAGATACATCTGCCATTGGCAATAATATCCCTAGTGCCATTACCTCTTCTAAACCCAGCTTGTATTTCTGGTAGTTCTCTGTCAAGTACTGTTCAAGTCTTTCCTGGATAATCAAGAAGTTGCTCTGAACATAAAGGGAAGTGGTTAGAATACAAGAGCAGTTCTGTGAGAGAAAGATGGGTAATTTCCTCTTGTTTGACTGCCAGTCTCTGAAACCCATTTACTGGAGTCTCAGCTATGAATTGATTTCAACCTGAAAGCAATGAGTTAAAATTTTTTAATGTCAGCAAAATTTCTTTTAAATTCATCCACATTGTGCAGTATTTCACAAACTCATAAGATCATTTTTTTAATAATGCATAGCCCATTGTGCAAATGTACCAGTTTCTTTAGCCATTCACACACTGATGGACATGTTGCTTTTCTCTCTTGGTATTGTAAATATAACACAGTGAACATAGATGTACATATATCTGTTCCCATAACAGCTATTATTTCTTTAGGATATATACCTAATAGTGGGATTGCTGGATCATGATGCTTCTATTCCTAATTTTCTAAGGAAGCACCAAACAACTTTCTGTGATTGTAGTACCACGTTACATTCTCATAAGGAATGTATGAGAGTTCCAATCTCTCCACACACTCATCAGCACTTACTGTTTGCTGTCTTGTTGAATGTTGCTATTGTTGCTCGAACAAGATGAGATCTCATTGTTCTTTTTATATGCATCTCTTGTGGCATATTCCACAGAGAGTTGTACTGCTAACTCAAAAGTAGTATTTCTCTGAAGGTTCAAATCCACCAGCAGTTCTACAGAAGATGGACAATCTCCAATGTGATTTACAGACTCTGAAAACCTGATAGAGGGTCAGCTATGAGTAGATTCTAACTCCACAGCAATGGCTTTGACTAGCTAATCACCTTAAGCATTTCTTCATTTGTTTGTTGAACATTTTGGATTTTTTATAGTGAAGTGTCCACTCATGTTGTCTGCCCATTTTGTAATTGGGTTGTCTTTTCTTGTGGTTTTGGAGTTTTTTATAAATCTTAGAAATTAGCCTCTTGTCATATGTGTCATTGCCAAACATTTTGCCAAACTGTAAATTCTCTTTAAATTCTTTTGGAAAAGTGTTTTTATGTTCATCAAGATTTAATCTTTTGGAGGTGCCAATAATTTACGCTATTAA